ATTATTAATTTAGCCAAATCATGAACAGCGAATTAGATTGGTTTTTGTATGTACTTGATCCACAGTTACTTTACGCAAACATAGGAAACATTTCAGATGAGAAGTTGGTGAAAATAATAAGGATTTTGCTATTTCATGCCGAACGTCATGAAATTCGTAATGCTAACTTTATCGGTAACGGCGATCATGGGTCCAGTGGCATCTTGATAGCATATGATAAAGCAAAAACCTTTGACAGATTGGCTTTAATAATTGCGACTTATTTTCGCTTCAGTGTCAACATATTTAGTGGTATAGTTTCAGAGATACCATTGACGCTCACAATGCGCACATATCGATCTCTCATTTCATCTATTTCGATGCACGATAGTCAAGTTGCTATTGATATTGCCTCTCTTAATTCCTCCATTTTTGAAATCGGTCCGTGGAATGACTTAGCACCCTCATTGGCTTATTCCGTTCTCATTTATCATTTATGGACGCTTCAGGTACTTATTATACAAATTCGTTTATTTCGCAAACTTCCATTTAAACACCTTTCTTTTAGGTTGTTATTTTGAATAATATGATACCACAACCTTCCCGTAACCAAACTCCTTCAGTGTACGGTCTATCAGAACTTCCCGATGGAAGTTTTCTTTCAAGTAACGCTAGTTTACGCAAACGTATTTATAAGACCCACCTTGCATCTGCTCAACGTCTTCAAGATCTTCTACGTCTCACACTTGATCATAGAAATCAATCCCTATCTTTCGCTCGTCCTATCATTGATGATTTCTTCCAGAATATTACTAATGTTGATCGGCGAAATGAATATCTTTCAATCAATGTCATTATTTCGGCAATAGCTTTTGCCATGGGCCGTTTGGCCTTTCAGAAAAATCTCATTTTCCGTTCTAATCAACTTTTCAAACTTGCTAAGGACAAAATGGCAGAAAAACAGGTAGATATCATTTCCTTTACTTTTCTAATTTTTATTTATTTGCTATTTTCTTTTCTTCAATTCATTTCTCTAAGGTGGAGTACATTGAGGAGGTTGGGGCTACGTCACAATTGGTAAATGCTTATCTCACTTGTTGTCAACATCTAAACATTTCCTCAAAAAGTACTGAGTCCCTTATGGACTCTTTTTGGGCATTATTATGCCAGAATTTGTCAGCAGACGTCTCAATATTTGACCTGAAATTGATATCGGTCCATTCCTCTCCCCAAAAGTAAGAATTTTTACTTACAATCGCTTTTTTGATCATGTAAATACTTATTAAACCTATATTTTATATTGTATACTGCCCTCATTCCGTTTATTTTAATAGAAAGATGTTTGATAAAAGTCAACTGTATGAAATTTGATTTAAGTAAAATATTTTATGGGCAATACATAGTGATAGGCTATTACAAGTAGGAAAACAAATCATGAAGTATTAAGGGTTATAAAAAAGAAGACATCTTCATTTGCTCACTTTTCCTGTTCTTGGTTGGCATGCTGGTTGGGTTGCTAGCTTATCCTAATTCTGTAGCAGCGTGCTTCATTTTATGTCTCGTGTCCAACATATCGGCCCTTCTTTCGCACTTCATTTTTAATCTATTAATATTAATTCTTTAAATTTCATTCTTACTACATCAGTGCTATTCAAACTGCATACTAGAGGGCCAGTTAGATATTTTTGAAAATTCTTAAATTAATATTGTGATCGACAGTTATAAATGCATTACATTTATTGTCGTATAATTGTCTGTGAATTTTCATATTTTTTAACAGGAATGCTTTCTTCTTCAATGATATCGTCACATTCCTCGACTTTTCACCAACTACCTCAAAATTGAGTTTCGGTCTTCGAATATCGTTATGGCGATTAATGGACAAAGTCCGAACTCTCCTCTCTATAGAGCGCGAATCTAAGGTGGATATTTCGCAATTGAAACAAAATTGCAACTCCTGGCTCTCTCTTTACTCGAAAGAATTAGTGAATAATGGCTTTTATTGGGTTCAAACTTCTGCCCTGGCGCAGACAGTGGCTTTCTGCGATCGCCTACTTTCGACCATTGACGATGAAACTACTTTCTCAGACGCATTCGCTAATTTGACTCATTGTGTTGAAGACGAGGTTGAAATCACGAATTTCGAGAAGCAATTGATCGATTTTATTATCCTGAATTCACCACTTAAAAAATCTTCAGCACGGGCTGCTTTATTTGACGCATCCTACGAATTTTTTTCTAAAGTGAGTTGTAAGATTGTTTAAACGATTAATTTGCGTTGATCTCAGCATTTTTCATTTTTCAAGCTGAGGAAGTGAGCGTTGGATATATTTTTAACGATAATATTGCTTAGCCGTATCCAGAGAGTGCTTTCTTAAGTCATCATTTGTAATAATTTTAAGCTTATTGATAATAGTGTAAATTATTTTGAATATCTCACTTATAAACGTGTTTAAGTAGTATCTATGCCGTATGAAAGCAAATTGCAAGTAAGGTTGATAGTTTTTGATCGTCAACCTCATTTTTAGTTAGTAATAACTACTAGTAGACTTAAACTATTTTTGCTTTGAAGTATCTGAAATTAGTCTTTGATCGAAACCATGGTCACGAATTTGAATTGAAGGAAATCTTAAAATATATTGGCATAAGCTCTCGAAAATGGTTTTCATATAGTGATCGACTTGTTCTGCAACAAAATTATCTCATATTTTTTATGATTTCAGAATACCCTTCTTCCAGCTGATGCCCAAACCATCATCCGGGCTAAGCTAGAGGATAAAAGTGCGCAATCATCAAGTAGCGATAACCTTTTTGCAGACTTACCGGAATTTGGATTGAAGGTAAATTCATTTCCCTCGTCGTTTTCACAAAAGACCGCCACCAACACCATATTTGAGCTAGGAAGATGTGTTCGTGATGTTTCCTACCTCATGAGTTCAGATCCCGAGGTGGTACTGAGGGCTTGTAAAGATTTAATTACTATTGGCACGTCGGTAGAAACTATATTCCGTTCCGGTGGTTGGTTTGACACCGCACTGCCTATTTTTCTCAAGTGGTCCATACGTGATCCACAAATTAAACACAGACGCGTAAGTCTCATAATCTTATTATTTACTTGTATTTTTTACCAGTAATATTTCATCGATGCTCTTAACTCTCATTAATGTATTAAACTTGTCATTATTATTTCAAATGACAGGCTTTATGACAGTTATCATTAGCCCCTTAGTTGACTTCAGCTTTCACAAGGGGGGGGGGGTATATATATGGGCTTTAGGACAGTTAACAGCAGTTCATTAGTTGTCTTCTGGCTTCCAACTATCTC